GAGGGAGGGAGGGGTGGGGCCCGGGTCCTCAGGAGGGGCAGTGCGGTGTGTGGGAGAACGCGGGGCTCGGTGTGCGACTAAAAGGTGAGCGCGATCTTGTGCAAACTGGTGTCCGAGATGCTTTTCTCTTTTCCTGGTCCCGTCTGTGTGACATCTGCTTTGGGATGGCTCGTCCCCTTTGGGCTTGGCTGGGTGCCCTGTTTGCATCCCCCTCGCAGCTGTTGTGCCGCCTTCGGCATTGGGGGGCAGAGCTGCTAAAGCCCTGTGGAGGTGACACGGCCAGGGTGGTCCTCCCTTTGGTGGCACAGTCTTTCCAACGTGGGGTGCTGCTGTAAGTTCTCTAAGTTAGGAGAAGGTGTGCCCTCTTAAAGAAATAAACAAGAGCCATTTCTTTACCTTTAAAGCAACTATTGCTTGTTAAAACAGATCTGTTAGCAAGCAGCATTTCTTTCAAATAGCAAAAGCTTTCTTCTCTCAATATGCTTATTTCCATATGTCCGAGGTTAAGCCAATGTGGTAGAATCCAGACACATAAGAATAGATTTTTGTTTAGTCAAAGGCCAAGTCAGTTCTTTATTTTTTTTAAAAGATTCTCTCAGGAAAGATGTAAATAATATATAGAAATTTAATTGCAATATTGTGCCAGAACTTGGAATCACACTATTTGTATTGTGAAATACAGGAGTAGGTTAGCCATTTTTGTTGAGATATCAATAAGATCTTTGGTTGCCTCATTAGTAAATGGCTTCTTGCATGTGAGGAAATTATTAGGAAAACTTCTGTCCTTAATAATAGCAGTTAAGCTTGTAAGTAACAGCATTGTTCTTTAGAAGTCATGTGCTATAGACATGAATTTGTTTCCATCTGTAATGGTACAGGCTGGAGATGTCACTCATGCTGAACCATGTTAACAAAGAATTGCTGTTTGAACTGTGACCTTTTTCACAGGTTCATTTGCACTGACATGGGTTGGGATGCTCATCTGAGCAGCTCAGATGGCAGACTTGAGATGGTTTTTATTCTGTTAGGGGACCTGTGATGAGCAGCTAGGGGCTATAGTCTTTATAGATCTGAGTTTCAGTTAGAAGATAATGAGTATCCACAGACTAAGTGCAAATGTGCTCCTTGTATTTTTAGTGTAGTATAAGTACTATTTAGAGTTTGCATTGTTGGCATGGTATCAACAAACACCTGCAACCAGTTTGTACTAGGGCTGCCAACATCACTGTTTTTTAACAGAATTATCTAACAGTAAGGAACCAGAGGAGAGATGTAGGTAATGTCCATGGTGTTGACAGTGCTAATGTGCGAATGATTTCATAGAGAAGAAACTGCATTGCTTCCTTTATTGTCAGACTTCTCTGACCGAAAGGTTTGTGAGACCCCGAGTAGTGCATCTTTTCAAGTAATTCTCACTGGACTTTTGTATTATCCATAAGTGTATGGGTTTTTTCTATACTTCTTAGTGTAAACCTTTCAGTGTGGTGCTATATCACCTTTGTGCTCTTTTCTGCTCTTCTGAGAAGGAACTGATTATTTTCTCTCACCTAAGTGCTAACTGTAGTCAAGAAGTGGAGCAAGGAACTGAAAAGTCAGCAAAACTTGAAAGTGGTTAGTTAGGAGGTAGCTGATATGGAAAACCATGGTAGAATTTGTTGTGATCTCATCGGATCCATGTGCTTTTCTGTCTCTGTCTTGTTTTGTTATCATTTTACAGTTCTGTTTTAAGCCAGCCATGGAGGACAGCAGGTGACATCTTTTGTGTGCATCATCAGACCTGCTGCTTGCATTCATAGAGGGCCAAACTTTGTGTGTGTTGAAGAGAATGATAGTGCACAAGCTGGATGGGGAGAAAACTTAGATGTGCAGGATTCTGATGACAAATAAAAAGAAGTACTACTTTGTTTTTAAATTCCAAACAAAATTACAAAGCTTGAAAATTGGAGCATATTTTTTTTCCTTTTCTTTAATCAATGAGAAAATTAAGTCATTGGTACCTAAGGCATTTGTTTAGTAGCTTCACAAGGAATGAGAACAAGTAAAATTACATATTAAATGAACTGAGCATATATTTGGGGGTTTGTGTAGCCTGTTTGAATGAAAAGCTTGAAGTTATCATTAACGGTCTTGGACATATGTTAATATCTATGTGTTTTTACTTGGAAAATTGATTCAGACTGCTGGTGTGGTGTATATGATTGACTGAGTTTAAATGCAAACTTCATTTGGATTTTGGTGGAAAAGGAATTAAAACTGAGTGGAAGTTAACCACTGTTTTCTTTTTCAGTCAAAGTGGTAGTGTCAGAACAGCCAGAAGAAAAGATACCCATTTTCTAGCTTTTCTGCTCTTTTCGTAACATATTCCTGGACTAATTTTTGTTTTTTCCTCTTACCTGTACACCATAGACTATCAGTTAGAGACTATTAAATGCAAAAATATTGACATGTGATATGGACTTTTTTATTATTTTGCACAGATGAAAGGAAAAAGGAAACAATCAACTTACGAAGCTTTAGGTATGGCTCCAGTGGAAGAAGAGTATTTTAGTGATTCAATCAAAGTTAAGCTATTGGCATTCAAGGCTAATAGAGTAAAGATAAGATACGCTAATACATACAGACTGGAGTCACGTAATAAATTTCGGGATTATTTAGTAAGAGACAAAGCTCAAGCAATACTAACGGTATAGTATTTTATAATTAATTGTCTAATTTTATGGAAAAATAGCTTGTCTTGCAAAGATTATACTAATGGAGCAGTGTAAGTTGCATAAACTTAAACATATGCATAAATCTTTACAAACATCAAGTTTTGGCACACAGATGTAATGTCAATGTACTCCATTTTGGAGGGTGCAGGCGGCCTTCTGCAAGGTCGCCACTGAGCACCTGCTGTTAAGATGGAACTGAAGCATGGAACTTTAACTCTTACCCATTTCTAAGTCAAATTGAGCTTTAGTGCAGTTCAGAGTACCCTGATCTGCAAAATATCCAGTTATTCAAAGATTCAGACCTTGAATTTGTGGAATTCTACTCCTTCAATTAGTTCTACTAATATCACATGGCCTGCATAAAATATCCTTGGTGTCCTTCACAGTGTCTGCTACATAGAAAATTTAAGCAAAAATGAAGGAGAAAAATCTGACAAGATAAGATAGTATGTATCTGTTAGTGATACCTTGAATAGTTGCAACCAGCTGTTGTCTTCTGCTTCTGGAAGACAGGTTATTTGTTTTCCAGTGAACTCAGCTCAAATAATGGAGAAGGATATGCTCCTGTGTATTACATGGAGATTGGCTGGACGTGTTTGTCACTTTCAAAAAATAGATAAAACATTTTAGAGTAAAAATAGTGCAGCCTTTGCTGTTTGAGAGCATCATCTATATTGACTATTCCGCTCATTAATTCTAATGTTCTTGTAATGGAAATGACTATATAAGGTTTTTTGCAAAAGACTACCAGGATGAAAACTAAGATCTTTCAAAATTGTTTTTGATAGAATAAACTTCAAGAAGCCAAATACGATGGAGTTTCTAGTCCTTCCTTGTGTGCTTCAATCTCAGAAGAAATATTAAAGGCTGTGAAGGAATTGGACTTTGACCGGTATAAGTACGTGGTGTCAGTACTAATTGTGGAAAAGGCAGGTCAGACAATAAATGTGAGCAAACAAATTATTCATAATATCTTTTGAAAATTGAAAATAAGTTTTAGAACTGTATGTTATCTCTTAGGCATTCATCCATATTCAGCAGCTTTACTAGCTTGAGGTGGTCTTGAAGCCTTTAGGTTCTTTATGGGGAGTTGTATGGCAGGTCACAATTTAAGGTACTGCTGTGATTCTGCCTAACCCTGTGAAGGTTGTTGTCTTTTCGAGTTCAGTAACAGTGGTAAGCAGCCCATGCTGCTTTTACCTGCTAACTAGTTATTTCTGCTGTGTGCTATGCCAGTACAACTGCATGACTGCAGTGAATTTTCTTTTTCCAAGTACATTTTTCCAATGTACTTTGATCTCCAGTTGAGTTAATAGAATCATGGAATGCTGTGAGTTGGAAGGGACCCACAAGGATCATCGAGTCCAACTCTTGCCCCAGCATAGGACAACCCCAAGATTCAGGCCATGCGTTTGGGGCCCTTGTCCAAATGCTTCTTGAATATTGCCAGCCTTGGTGCCATGACTGCCTCCCTGGGGAGCCTGTTCCAGTGCTCCACCACCCTCTGGGTGAAGGACCTTTTCCTAATGTCCAACCTAAACCTCCTCTGGCACATCTTCCTGCCATTTCCCCTGGTCCTATCATTGGTCACCAGAGAGAAGAGATCAGCGTCTGTCCCTCCTCTTCCCCTTGTGAAGAGGTTACAGACTGCAATGAGGTGGTCTCAGTCTCCTGTTCTCCAGGCTGAACAAACTAAGCCACCTCATATGGCTTCCTCTCTAAACCCTTCACCAATTTTGTGTCCCTCCTCTGGACACTCTCCAGTAGCTTTAGATCCTTTTTATCCTGTGGCACCCAAAACCGCACCCAGTACTCGAGGTGGGGCCACACCAGTGCAGAGCAGAGCGGGACAATCACCTCCCTTGCCCGGCTCGCAGTGCAGTGCTGGGTGCCCCCAGGACACGGTTGGCCCTCTTCAGCGTAGAATACTGTGCAGTCGTAGTGTGGGGTGACATGGAAAGGAACAGGTGGCAAGGAAAATTATGGAAACTTTCAACTGTAGCTGCCACCAAACAGGTGCTGCTGGGACTACAAATTACCATTAGGGATCTGAACTTAGCTCACCCAAAACAAAAGTCTTCTAGACTTTCCTGTGTTGTATATAAACTTAGATGTGTTGCAAGCTCCCATTGGCATTTGAAACACCTTCAGGTATCTTGCCGAGCATCAGAGAGAACTTCTGTTCAGGAGAAGAGAACTTCTCTTAAAACCTGAAGAAACCATACCTGGTTTTAGTGGGTTACATGAAATGATGTTTGAAGGGTTGACAGCTTCAGCACTGAAGCCAGACTGTGAGGGTCCTGTGTCCACCTGCTGATCTGGTGCCGACTCACAGTACACTGCTGCTGAAGTTGTTGTACTTGACTGAGGAGCTGTAGGTTAAAACAGATCACTGAAACGGTCCAAGTTCATTATTATTTTTTTTTTTTCCTCCTGAGGAATATGTTTTTTTCCAGTAGTCAATTCATACATTTTGACTTTGGAAACAATTTTATCAAAAAAAGCTGAAAGCCCAGTAAATGGTCACAAGTAGACCAGAGTAAGCTGGAGGTGGAGGAGTGGGGGACATGACTTCTTAGCTGTGTATGTCCCCAAAACAAATGCCTATTTACGCTGCTTTTGAAGAGGTGCTGCTACAGTCCGCTGTAGTGATAACAAGTGGACATGAGAGAGAACTGAGTTTTTGGGTATAGATTTTTTGATCTATTGGGGTGGGAACTTTACTGTGAAGTAAGAATGTGTTTTAACATCAAATGGGACTTGTTCATTTTCACTGTAATTTTACAGTTATTGTTAACTACTTGTAACTCTCATAATGCAATTTTATTGGTATTTATATAATACTGTGTGTTCTTTTAAAAAATACAGATTCACAAGTAGGTTTTCTTTTCTTTCCTTTAGGTTGCCAGCAGATGTGTCTGGGATGTTCAAAGAGACACCTGGGTTTCAGCTAAATGTGAGACTGAAACATTTATTGCACTGGCTTTGGTAATGGCTTGTTATTACGACTAATGCTCTAAAAGCCACACCTGGTTTTGTGCATCACAGCGCCTGGTATATTTGAAAATTTTCAGAACATCATTATTTTCACACTATTTTTTGTCCTAATGCTGTTGGCACATTGAAATTGACATATAGTTGAGATAATTTTGCTCATTTTTCTCTGTTAAAAAAAACAAACCAACCCAAAGAAACGCTTTTGAAATGTGTATGGTTGAGTACATATGGGCTTCATCTGTCTGTGGAAGTTGAAGCAGCTGGTGTAAGGCCAAACTTTGCAAAATTTTGAATGTTGCTTGTGTATTGCATGCCTAGAGTTGTTAAAGAAAGTTTACAATGAACTGCAGGTATTGGCATTCTTTAAAGCACACTCTTTGTGAGAGAAGGTGGTGTTAGGTTTTTTTTCTAGTTGTATCTTTGATAAATTGCTGGTTTGTGTTGGAACGTCGCCAGGAGGGAAGCCATCTTTTGCACAGTTAGGAATTTTTTGCGAATTTCCAGTCGTTTGCCTTGAATGAAGTGTGAGTTTTGGTATTAGCTTCCCTGGGCCGTAAACTTGCATGAAGTGTCAGCCGCGTTCAGGCTGGCGGCTGAGTACGGAATTGGGCGAGGGTGGTGGTGTCAGCTGGGGGCTTCAGAGGGCAAAGGCAAAAGGGCCGGTACCGAGGCTGTTGGTGGCCGGTCCCTCCTTGGCAAGGACGGCAACGATTGTGTTTTGAAAAAGACGACTCTGGCAGATCTGTGCGGTGCACGGACGTGTGCCGTTGGAACTGCCGTGCGTGGAAATGGAGCGCTGGTGCCTTTTCCACGTCAGTTGTGTTGTCAGGAGCTGAACGCAAACGCGTGCGAACGCAGACACGGGTGGGGGTGCTTCCGAACGTAGGGGCTAAGCCTGAGGCCC